CTCACTTCTTTTTCGAAAGCGACGAGGGGCCGCACCCTCCGCGGCCCCCATCCCCCGCAGCACCGCCGCCGCCGCCGCCGCGTGCGCTTCCCCGATCCTCTTCAGCATCGCGTCTCGCCGCCCACCACCACCCCCCGTCCCACCCTCTTCCCGCCGCACCACCGCGGAGGCCCCCTCCTCCCCATCGGCTGCGCTATTTACAGGCATCCCCGCTGCGGTCCCCGCCGCGTCTTCGGTGCCCCCGGACGCGGAAGGAGTTCCCGGTTCTGGAACCGGAGGCGTTTCTCCTCGGGGCGATGGGGTGACCGTAGCTGGGTCACCATCGGCGCCTCCGCTGGAAGGGGGAGCGGGGGGGGGTGGGGGGGCGAGGCTCGCCAGCACCTTGCCGCAGAGGCGGAGCACGAGGTGGTGCCGTCGGGGCCTCGGAAGAAAAGGCGTTGGCGGGACGGGGACGGTACTCTCGTGGCCCCGTTCCGACCCCGCCGCCTCTTTCCGCCCCCCCTCCGGGTGGACCCCTGCTCCCCCCCCGCTCCCTAGGGCCGACGACGGCGCCCCCTCCTTCGTACCAGCCGCCGTACCCACAGCCACCACCCCTGTCGTCTCCTCACCGCTTTCCCCCGCCCCCTCTCCCCCCACGGCCTGGGTAGCCGTCGAGGGTGCAAGCATGCAGCACAGAGCGTCCACGGCCGCGTCCAGCATTTCCATGCCCAGGGGCCGCGCGGACGGGTCCACTGCTGGTGCTGGTGCTGCCGCTCGTGCTGCTGATGATGCCGCGCCTCCCTCTCCCTCCCCCGCTGCTGTTTGTTGCTTTTCTTCCTCGGCGCAGCCACCGTTTGGTTGGCCATCGGCCGCTCCTGTCCCTGCTGCTGCTGCACCGGGTAGTCCCTCGTGGTCTTGGGCGGAATCTTCCGCGGCGTCTTGCGTCAGGCCGAGGTCGGTTCTCACAACTTGGTTCTGGGCGAGAGCCTGCGGTTCGGTTGAGCGTGGCGTCCATCAAGGAAGCATCATCGGGGTTTGACAAGCACAGAAGGGTCTCGGGGACCTTTAGTTACACCTCGTGTTCACCTGTGTAACGCTCCCGGGCGCGCTGGTACCCCCACAACTAAACAGGTAACGAAGGGTACTTTGAACCACCAAAACATACATCTTGCCGTGAGCATGCATCGCATGTAACAATACTTGCGGCAGGAAAGAGAAAGTGGAAACGAACCAATACCAAAGTGGCGAGGAAAACACACGTGGGGTGAAAAAACTTGTTGGTGAAGCACCAGCACAAAACACCACGATCGCAAGAAAAAAAAAACCACACACATCCCCTGCTAGCGTCGGCGCCTTGAGGCCAAGCATCCTTCACCTGCAAAACAACCAGAGCCCCCAAGCACAGCTCCTCCCTGTCCCCCTGCAGCAAGGCCAGCAGGGGAGGGGAGCGCCCCACTCCCGATCCAACCCGCCCCTCACCCCCCGCGGCTGCGCCGTTCTTGTCCACCTCTGCGGTAGACGACGGCGGGGCTGCTGCTGCTGCTGCTGCTGCTGCTGCCGCCGCCGCTGCTGCTCCTACGGGCCTCAACCCTTGAGCAGCCTCGCTCCCTAGGGTCTCCAGCACCAGGAGGCGCACAAGCGGGGGGTGCGTCACTACTATGAAGAGTTGCGCCAGGGCGCATAACGCCACCTGTTGGGGAGGGCCAACAGAAAGGAGGTTGCGCGGGGATGGGGAGGTTGAGGGGGATGGAGGCGGGCCGTCGAAAAACTAAGATTGATGAAGTGGTAAGCCTGGAAGATAGATCTCCTTGTGAGCCAGCTGGAAGGTGCAACTTTTGAGGAGGCCAGGCGGACGGTGGGTGTGCAGCAGGCGTAAAAAAAGGAACCCCATACGGCGCTCGTGCAAGCGGATGATCAAGTGGGGTGAGACGGAATCTCACCAACGTTGAAATGCTCCTGCGGGTGAGAGTGGGGGTGATGAGGTCGTCACGGGGGGCGATGGGGAGGGGAGGCAGCACGCTACACAAAGGCGCAGCCAACACATTGCACTTGAAATGCAGCAAAAAATGAGCTCCTCGAGCGTTGCAAGAAACGCAGCCAAAGTGAATGAAGTCCATGAGGAGTTCCAAGATAAATTAAAATTAGACACCCATCCCATCATACCGAGTCATACCTGTGGGAACATTGCTCCGGACCGTCCGCTGAGCCAGTCGCCCAGCAGCATCGGCCGCACCAGCCGGCCGAGCAGAGACTCGCACAGCTCAGCGTTCAGCTCCCGCTGTCCGCTCGCGAACACGTCCTCGAGGTAGAACACCTGTGGTTTCGTGAGTTTGTTGGTGCCGAAAGCGCCACACCAGCCGTGAATTGGTGATGAATACAGTAAAATATCGCAGAACGTACACGGTTGAGTGGCGCACTAAAAGGGCAACAGAAAAAAAGGTCTCTGACCGCGTTGCTGCGGCACACACTCACGCAGCCACACGCGCAAAACCTACACTCCCCGACGGGACGATCGATCGGAGGGGCCTCCTGCAGCACCGTCCAAAAAAACAAACAATCCATGACGGCTGGACACCACAAAGCCAAAAGCGCACCTGATCTTGGAGCCCGGCTATCGAGTCCCGACAAATCGTTGGGTCCACAGCAGCAGCAGCAGCAGCGGGAGCTCCCTCTGTACCTCTTTCTCCTCCGCCGGCCCCCTTACCGCCACCGCCTACCCCGGCGGCCATGGCGCTGTCCGCCAGGACGAGGCACTGCGACCGCAAGGCCCCGACGAGGCGGTCGGGAAGGGAGGCCGAGCGAGCCGCCGGGCTGTTGAGGTACGCCCGCACCAGGGGGTCCCGCTGGTTGTAGATGTTGAGGACCACCGTCAGCGCGGCGATCCGGATGTGGAAGTCTCCGTGGCAGATGTACTCCAGCGCCCGAGTGTAGAGGGGGAAAGACGACCCCTCCTCCTCCTCTTCGCCCCCCCCCCCCTCCCCCCCCTCCCCTTTTTTTTGCCCCTTCTCTTCCCCCGTCGCTCCTCCTCCTCCTGCGCCCTCTCTTGGCGCCCCTTTCTGCGGTGCCCCATCCCTGGCTCCCCCTCCCCCCGAAAAAGCCCCGTTTTCCAGATCCCTCCCCCCCTCTTTTCCTCCCCCCCCTGCAAGGGTCTCCCTCCCCCCCCCCTCCCCCCCCCCCCCAAACCACGAGGCCCGTCTCCTCGTGGTCCAATCGGCGGTTTCCTCCTCGTCCTCTCCGGATGCGGGTGGGGGCTGGGGTTGCGCTCGCGATTTCCGCCGCGGTCCCCGGAGGAAAAACTGTCCGTGCCGGGGGCGTCAACGTGTGAAAGTGGGGCATCCCATGCGGAAGTGGAGAGGGTGGGGGTGTACTCATGTTTTGCATGTGGTTAGACCATTGAAGGGGGGGGGGGGGGGGGGCGTACTGTTATGTTTTGCATGCCTTAGCGGTTGGACCATTTACCACGCGTCCTCGAGAGGACGGAGAATTGTTCCCACTGGACCGATCACCGATAACCAAATCGTTCCTTCCTACTTTGCCAAAGGTGGCTCAAATATGCCGCGGATACTACTACAGTGGCCGCGAGATGCACAGGAACATCAGCACTACACTACAGTAGTAATGACGTCCTCGAGGAAACCCCACCGACACCCTCGAGGACAAGAACGGAACAGAAAACGATCAACACGTACGCATTACGTAAAAAACAACGAACGTTGTGCCGTTTGTTGGAACGTGCTGCTGTAGGAAAAAACGGCGTATCCGCTTGGACTGCCTGCCCGAAACGTTGAGTTTGATCAAAATGGGACGAGATGAGCTCTGCGGGAAAGAAATAAAGTGCCCTCCGAGTGAAGGTTGTAGCCAAGCCACTTGTCGGAACAACATCGTACATACCTGAACCGTGTCCTGGTTGAGGCGGAGGGAGAGGGTCTTGAGGAAGCTGGCAAAGTGGCTCAAAACCTCCTCGTCCTCAAGCCGGAAGTCGAACATGATCATGTCATTCACGTGGTTGTTCGACAAGAGGTAGAAGAGCGACCTGCGCGGGACGTCGCCGTGGTCGCAGCGACGGTGGAAAAATCGGAAGACTAGGGTCGGTGCAAAATAAAGCGCGCGAAAGAACCAGAGAGCGGGTACGATATGTGCTGCTGGGCGAGACATCTCCAAAAAAGCTTTTCAACAACCATCAACGCCTATACATGTGGACGTCCACGTTCGAATGCGGTTGGTTCATGAAACGTGCGATGTGGACTCGTTAACCCCGTGTGCGGTTGGTCGGTAGAGCACGACAGGGTGTGGAACTCACGAAAGCGAAAGGAAACTAAGAGCACTGGTGAATCGATGCCGCCAAACAAAGAAGCAACATGCCAAGCGTTGTTCGTTTTGCTGATTGGAAGCCATTTGAATAAATACACGAGCGGGGATTGTCAACACAAGCACGTGCCACCGGATAAATATACCATGCGGTTGGTGAACGTCCCTGCCTACACAGCTATTTCTCTCCCCCTCGCCCCCTTCCCCACTCGCATACCCCCTCCCCCCCTACTCAGTTCCTCCACTCTCCACCGCACACCCCAAAATCTCCTCTCTCACTTACGTATCGCTCTTGACGTTCATGACGAGGATGCTGATGGTCTGGATCACCTGCACCTGCACTTCGGCCGAAGACCTCCCTTCCCCACCTCCCCCTTTCCCCGCCTCTCGCCCCTTGCTAGCCACGGGACCCCC